GCTTGAGCCCAGGAGTTGGAGGTTGCTGTGAGCTGTGATGCCATGGCACTCTACCCAGGGGGATATTTTGAGGCTCTGTCTCAAAAAAAAAAAAAAGGGTCTCCTATACCTGGGCGTTGTGGCAGGTGCCTGTAGTCACAGCTACGTGGGAGGCTAAGACCAAAAGAATCTCTTAAGCCCAAGAGTTTGAGGTTGCTATGAGCTGCGACTCCACAGCACTCTACCAAGGGTAACACAGTAAGACTCTGTCTCGAAAAAAAAAATAGAAAAACTAGCCAGGCGTTGTGGTGGGAGCCTGTAAATCTAGCTACTTGGGAGACTGAGACAGGAGGAGCACTTTTGAGCCTAAGAGTTTGAAGTTGTTGGGAACTAAGACGCCACAGCACTATACCCAGGGCAACAAAGTAAGACTGTCTAAAAAAAATCTGATATTTACATTTTATGTTCAAAGTCCAAAAGACAATAATCTCTCTGTGCCACAAAAATATAATTACCTGGAGAACCAGCCATGCACTCAGGGAGCACAAAGATGTCACCAAACCCATAGAAAATACAAACTGTCCTGAGGTAAAAACTGTTCTCTTATGTTCTATCCAATATTTAGCATAATAGGGCATTCAGATCCTAAAAAATAAAACAATAAAACAACAGGGGCTGGGCTAGGTGGCTTACACCTGTAATCTCAGCACTCTGGGAGGTCCAGGCACTCTGGGTTGCTTGAGTTCACAAGTTTGAGACCAGCCCTTCAAAATCAAGATCCTGTCTCTACTAAAAATAGAAAAACTTGGCTGTCCCTATGGCTCAGTGGGTAGGGCGCCGGCCCCATATACCGAGGGTGGCGGGTTCAAACCCGGCCCCAGCCAAACTGCAACAAAGGAATAGCGGGGTGTTGTGGCGAGTGCCTGTAGTCCCAGCTACTCGGGAGGCTGGGGCAAGAGAATTGCCTAAGCCCTGGAGTTGTTGGTTGCTGTGAGTTGTGTGATGCCACGGCACTCCACTGAAGGTGATAAAAAAGTTTAAAAAAGAGAAAAGAACAGCTCGGCACCTATAGCTCAACCCGCTAAGGCACCAGCCACGTACACCTAAGGTGGCAGTTTCGA